TGGGGGGGGGGTTACAAATGACATGAAGAGAGAGAGGGAACGTAAGACGATCCAGGTTGGACTCACCCTTAAAAGCAACAGCACCTATTGTCCCTCGTTGGTGGTCCGTCGCCACTGTGTGTGTGTGTGGTGTTGCGTTTTTGGTTGTGTGTGTGACTGTGTGTTGCATGTGTGTGTTGTGTGTGTGACTGTGTGTGTGTGTGTGTTGTGTGTGCCGACTGTGTGCTGTGCGTGTGACGTGTGTGTGTGTGTGTGTGTTGTGTGACTGTGTGTGTGTACTGTGTGTGTGTGTGACCTCGCTGTGTGTGTGGACTGTGTGTTTTGTGTGACTGTGTGTGTGTGATGTGCTGTGCTGTAGGTGTGTGTCCTGTGTGTGTGTGTGATCTGTGTGTGTGTGTGACGTGTGTGTGTCGTGTCTGTGTGGTGTCGTGTGACTGTGGATGCTGTGCTTGTACTGTGCGTTGTGCTAGTGTGTGGACTGTGTGCTGTGTGACTGTCTGTGTGTGTGACTGTGTCTAGTGTGTGCTCTGTGCTTGTGTGTGTATGTGCTAACTCCACACTAGATGATTTAATCCTTTCTAAACTTGTGGACTTGTCGTCTGTCACAGCAGCCTGAAAATTAACGTGAAGTAAAAAACGGGTCGAACTTTCACTTCCCCTTGTCAGATTTCACTGTTTTTTGATCCTCAGTCAGATCAAAAAAGGAGATCATTGTTAGTTTCTTTCTCCACCCTGCAGACACGCAGCATCACTCGGACGTTGATATGTGGTCGTGACGTCAGGCGACTGAAAAAACGTCGACAACCGACGTCAGTTTGACGTAAATAGAACAACTGACCAACAGCTGTTTGTTGTTTTTAAGTTGCTGTTCCAAAACTGTCTCATCGAACAGCACAGAAAATACTGACATCAAAACCCAACACCCCTAAACGCCACCTCAAGCTGCCGTCTCCGTCAAAGCCTTTTGCCGCAAAAGCAAACGCAATTTTAATCTTTTCATCAAAACACAGTGTGAACTGTTCGGTTCGTTCCACTGAAGTGATGATGTGTGATTCCAGTTAAAGGTGGAATAATCTCGAGAAAACCGCCTCATCGTGAATGTTGAGCTTTTTCACAACCTTGTCGCTTTAAGCAGGGAATGGAAACGCACCTGATGTAAAGTTAACCACCGGCGTGATTTCAGTGTGTGTTCGTTACTCGACATGATTCAGCTAAAGTATATCTCTGCTGTGTAACCATCACGTCCTCACCGGTGATCTTCGCCCTCTTTATTACATGACTGCTCGACCTCTCTGCCGCTGACGAGCCTCTCCTAACTCTCCTTCTTCTCTCCTTCACCCTTTCCCACCCCCCCCACCCACCCACCCCCAACCCCCCCCACCCCCACCCCCCCACTACACAGCACTCCCGCTAAACATCAGTTTGGGGAAAGTTCTTCGCCGTCCCATTCGTCTACTCTTTCCCCTGCTCCCAGGTAAGTAAGATGAGAAGGCAGGCCCGGCTTGCAGTCGCTGGACCTCGATCCAGTCTTCTGCTGCAGATCCGCTGTCACACTCCTTCTTCTTCTTCTTCCTTCTCTCTTCTTCTTTCTTCTGCACTGACTCACTTGCTTTACTGCCCATCAACACCCAATCAAAATATACTGATCAATCTTACATCCGGCATCTTGACAGATGATTTTATATAACAATAGTTATATGAACAATATAGAACATATGAACTAAAGCCCATTCAGCAATCCATCACATGATTCAATAATCTTCGACAGTGTAGATGCCTGCGTCCGCCTAGCTCCTGGCCATGATCACAGGTCATTGCTGCTTTGGAGCAAGATTTAAACACCAGTTTTATTGGTATCTCTTGTGTTCTCCTCTGTCGTCGTCCCCCTGTGTCCTTTGTCGTCGCTCTTGTGGTCTCTTTGTCATCGCTCTTGTGTCTCTTCCTGTGTTTCTTTGTGTTTCTTTGTGTCATTCCTGTGATCTCCTTGCTCCGTCCCTCTTGTGTCTCTTTGTCGTCCTACTTGTTCTCTTTCCGTGGTCGTCTCTGTGTCTCTTTGTATCATCTCTGTGTCCTCTTTGTGTCATTCCTGTGCTCTTCTATTGTCGTCCCCTTGCTGTTCTCCCTTGTCGTCCCTCTGCGCTCCTCTTTGTGGTCGTCTTCGTGTCTCTTTGTGTCCCGTCTTGTGTCTCTCTTGTGACTCACCTTCTTGTGCCCTCTTTGTGTTCCATTTGTGTCCTCTTTGTCGTCCCTCTTGCTGTCTCTTTCTCGTCCTCTGTTGTCTCGTGGCCGGTCTCTGTCGTCTCCTTTGTGGTCGTCTTGTGTCCTCTTTGTCGTTCATCCCTTTGCTGTCCCTCCTTTGTGTTCGTACCTCGGTGTCTCTTTGTGCTTCATCTCATGGTCCTCCTTGTGTCCTTCACTCTTGTGTCTCTTTGTCGTCGTCTTGCTGTCTCCTTTGGTAGTCATTGTTTGCATTTATTTCTCTGCTTCCACAACAGCTTTGCTCTGTGACAACACTGTATTTCTCCAACCCTTAGATTCCTGATTTGTCCAGCTACTCAGCTCATGTCTCGCTGGCCTTGTGGACCCCTGCTGGCGTCTATCTACCGGTCTGGGTTCTCCCATAAACAAGCTCCAGCTCGGGCTCGGCCCGGGCTCGGCCCACCCCTCCTCCGGCCCTGTGAGCCCATTCACGCGTGTCTGCTTAGGTCATGTTCCCGCGCTGTCAGACTCAGCCCACGCGTTGCTGAGGCATTAGATGTCGCTTAAAAGTCTCCTTACCTGTACCCCTTGAAGCGCAGCCCGGAGCTTATCCCACCCAAAACAGGAGCACGCAACAAACCAAAAACAAACACACTTTCACAAGCTGCCAGTCAGGAGTCTGAGCACCGTAACTATTAAAACTCTCGGACTTGCGTCGTTTCCTACCACAGCTTCAAGGCAGCAACAGACAGGCAGACAGACAGACAGGGCAGACAGCACGGACCGGACAGGACAGCAGGCACCGGCAGACAGCCACCAGAGCAGACAGACAGGCAGAAGAAGAGACAGGGCAGACAGCACGGAACGGACCAGACAGACAGGCAGGCAGGTCGCAGACAAGACGGCAGCCCACGAAACAGACAGACAGCACAGGACAGGCCAGGCAGCAGAAAGCACGACACGGCCTCACGAACAGACAGACCAGACCACTCCACAAGCGGCAGGCAGGCAGCAGAGACAGACCAGGCAGACAGCCCCCACGGACGGCCCACGGCCCACCACGGACAGGACAGACCAGGGAGGCAGACAGGCAGAACGAGACCAGACAGGCAGACAGACAGACAGACAGACAGGCAGGCAGACAAGACAGGCAGGGCAGAGAGACAGCACAGGCACGACACGCCACGACGGACGCCACGGACAGGACCCAGACAGGCAGGCAGACAGACGGACGCCACGCACGGCCATGCTGACCAGACAGGCAGACGGTTTTCATCTAAAGGTGCGGAGGCGGAACAAGACGACAGACACGGCGCAGGGGAACAGAATGGAGGGTGGGAGACAGTACAATCTACTTTTTCTCATTGCTGAACCAGGTCTACGTCCTCTGATTGTGTCTGAACTGAACTGACGTAAAACGTACACAAACGTCCTGAGCAACATTAGCAACACACAAAGGTGGTGCAGATGTAAGGGCGACGCGCTTAGCCTTGTTTCAAAAAAGACCAACAAAATTTATTATAAGAAAAGAAAAGAGAAACATAAGTGTATGGAAGATAGATTAGTAAGGGAGAAGGAGTTATCGAAAGAGG